TTACTCTGGCTTTTTTAACACAACTGGACAGTATTGATTTTTTGCCAGAAACTATGTAAGAATTCAAAGTTTCTATGGGTTTAGGTGGACAGATTTCTAGGGAAGACCTATATAAACCAGTCACTGATTAGTGAGTTGGCCATTTTTTTTTTTTTTAGCGCATAAGTTACTTGTGCATTACTGTTAAGTCATGTCATGAATTTCTTTTTTAATGTTCAGGATTTTTTTTATTTAATTAAATTTATTGGGATAACATTGTTAATAACCAGAATTATTTTTAGTAAAAGATAAAACAAATGTACTTGCTTTTTTTGTTGTTTGGTCTTTTAGCAAATAATACTACAGTCAGATTTTTACTTGTAGTTTTAATATTGATTATCTATTCCTTTTTACTTTGATCAGTGTTGTTTTAGAGAGTTGACATTGATAAAGCAGAGCTGCCTTGGATTTCTTACTTTGTAATTTATCAGTGTATTGGACACAGGTGGTCTTTGTTAGTCACTGCCTTCAATTAAATGACTTTTGTGATCGACCCGAACGTTAGTTTTGCACATTAGTTTTTTACTCAGGATATTGTTTTATCACTTGAAAGGTCATGAAGTCTGTTGAAAATGTGTTGTTTCTTCTTAAAGATTTCTTGAAGGTCATATGAAATCCCCTTTCAATGCTTTTCCTTCAAGGTTCCTTTCCAGCAGTTTCTTACTCTGTAAGGTAGAAGACACCCATTGTTGATTATCTAGGGATAGGAGAATAGTTTTCTGTTTTTGTTTTTGTTTTTTTCTTTTAAGGAGGAGAGAGTTGGACAGGGAATTTGAAGTTCTGAAGTATTTTAAAAGAATATTTTGGCGATCTAAATTAGACATATAAAATTATTTCAGTTTAAAGTAGTTCTTAAAATTATGTGTTATCATCACTTGAATAATATAGGCAGTCAGCTATCAATCACTAATATTTATGTTGGTATACTTTTACATGTTTCTATTAACTAAATTGTAAACTGCTGAGCTTACTTTTTTACCAAACAAGAAGCCATAACATTTTGAAAACAGAAGGGTTTAGGACCACTGTAAATCACAATTATGTTTTTTTGGATTTAGTGGCTCATAATCTGTGAAGCAGACACAATGCAGTTTTCACAGAAGTATTTGTATGTAGGGATTTAGTGATGAGAAATTTGCTAAAACAAATTGAATTCAAATCTGTCTTAGAGAATTCTTGCAATTTTTCTGGGTAGGTTTAATTACCATCTAGCACACTACATATTTTAATTCTTTTGTCTCTTGGTCTTCCTTTTCCACTAGAATGTAAGCTTCATGAGGGCAAAGATTTTTGTCTGTTTTGTTCATTGCTGTAACTCCAGCATCTAGACTAGTCCCTAGCACATAATAGACATTGAAATTTTTGTTGAAAGGTGGAATGGACTAGTCAAATGCAGTATCATTTCGACCAGTTTTTTCTGCCATTTTCTTTCCATTTCTGAGTGTCACTCTTTTCTTTTGTACTTTTAAG